GTAAAGTCTGTGAGCACCTTATTGTTGTCGTTGTCTTTGGATATTTGGATCCTTCTGTGGTTCTGTTACCTGTGTAATCTATCAGCAACCGATTTATTCCCCGCCCAAAAAATCCTCGTTCGAAAAATCAAGAATAGCAGAGACTGTCAGAACATCGTATGCAAGCTACACGCTTTGCAAGGTCACTCACCCTGCTCTTCCTGATACGAACATCGTTAGTGGCCTGAATAACAGCAAGAAACAAACAACGGAACCCACAGCATTTAGTGAATGCTCATCCGACAACCCCTTTCAAAACAGCCTCCGTCTGGTCCTTGTCGACGAAAAGTTGAATCGAATTATATAAGGAGTTTAATTCATTTAGTGAATGCTCGTCCGACAACCCTTTTCAAAATTACCCCTTCCAAAACAGCCTTCGTAACTCCTTGTTCCTACTCGGAATAGCCCTACCCTTTTTTTTTCTTTTCTTTTCTTTTGTACAAACAAACAGCTCCATCTATTGGTGGGGAGCAACACCTGCTGGAAACCGGGTCCAGCATCCCATAGGTACAACCATATCCTCTTAATTTGGCACAAACTGGGATCCGGGCCCAGCGTCCCATCATCAGAAAATTTCATGAATTTAGACAAGGAACTACTAGAAAAATCCAAACAGCAATTAGTGGAAGTCCTTCGAATGCTCAGAACCCCTGGAAGCTCCCCACAAAAAACAATCTAAAATTCTCTAATACTGTCTTCCTCCCTGCCGAGCTCTCCCAGGCCTCATGCCCCCACCCTGCTAGGTTACAGGGCAACACGACTCGCGCCAGCTCCGGCCAGCGTCGTCCCGATAGCAACCCTTGGTTTTTCCTTGGAATGCCCGGCCCAAAGCATCCCCAGATCTCTCTACCAGGCCTCACGCTAGTCCTCCAACTCTTTTTTTTAAATCTTTCAAAATCTTTTTCTTGCCTTCCAATTTCACAATAGACCAACCAAACGTACGACATAACTTACAAACGTGCATATCACCATGATTCTCCATTAGATCGTTCAGAACTGAAGTACCAAGAGAACACAAGGCAGGGGAGGAAGGGGGCCAGAGATCAGGAACAGGACTTGAGACTGACGACACTTGCCATTTAACCAACTTCCCTGTGCTACATAGTGTTCTTATGCACCCCGCCCTTCTCACTCCGCAAGAAAACTTTCCGTTCTCAACGCCCTTTCCCTTGACAATGCCTCCTCTTTCTTTTGACACAGAGGCCAGAACTGGTGTCCATCTGGAGATAAGGTCGACAAACGAAGGGCAGGAAAGAAACTTCGGGGAAGCCGGACAGGGCGCTACTAAGATGCATGGGATTTGAAGCCCGATCCGATCCAGATACAGCTCAACACGATACTGTCTGGGCGGTGCAGTGTCTGGGCGGTGCAGCTCAACACGATACTGTCTGGGCGGTGGACGAGAGGAAAGGCGCAAAGAAGGAGCGGGAGTGGGCGAGGAACTCGGTTGTAAGACTGCGGAGGGGTGAGGGATAAGGTGGAAGAGCAGAAAGGCGCAAAGAAGGAGAGGGAGAAGTAGAGCGGAAGCAACAGCGATCGGTTCAAAAACGGCGTGAACAAGGAACGGAAGGGCGAGGATCGCATCTACGACGATGGTCCTGGAGCGGGAGCAGTAGCGATCGGTTCCGCCTTTTGGTGGAGGGTGAGACTTTCCCTGGCCAGCAGCCTCACCACCAGTCCCTGCCCATCCCCCCCCCCCCCATCCGCCACGTATGCTTTTCCACGCTTTTCCCACCCTTCTCTGCCATCCGCCACGTGTGCTTCTCCACACTCCTCCCTGTTGAGCTCACACACCTTTCCCAGCCACCCCCGTTTGATCCAGATCGTTCCTCACGAATCACAGCACGATCTGAATTGCTCACACAACCAAACTGACTAACAGATGTTTCCAATGGACTAACTGACTACAGCACTGAGTAGGCCACAGGTCAGCCAACGAGGAGGGGCAAGCGGATGGAGAGGTGAAGTGATGGGACGGAGAGCGCAAAGCACATCCATAGGGGGTGATGTTGATGGGATTTACTTCGTAAACGTAAGTGAAAGACGCGGGGGCAGGTGGAATACATAGGGCGAGGGAGTCCACGGGAAGGTGTCAGAGAAGGAGGTATCCAAGGAGATGAGTGAGAAAGGGGGGCCACGCGGAGGTACGTGAAATAGATAGGGTGAGAGAGACAACGGGGAGGTGTCAACGGACGAGGGGTCTATGGAGCTGACTCAGAAAGGTGGGCTGAACGTCAACAAGTAACGTGCCCAGGGAATTGACGAGCTCGGTGGGACTGGGGAACGCTCCGCTGAAAACAGCATACGAACGACTGAGGTAC